TGAACATGCTAATAGGCTAACATGCCACGCTAGCAGGGCTGTGCACCTCATGTTTACTACAAAAACACAAATTTGAATTTAGAGTTTTTTGATATTGATCCGTCGGATGGTGCTGTTACGATGTTGATGTTATGATGTTGATGTTACGATGTTGATGTTACAGATGGTGCTGTTACGATGTTGATGTTACGATGTTGATGTTACGATGTTGATGTTACAATGTTTATGTTACGATGTTGATGTTACTGTGGCTAAAAATACAAATGAAAAATACAGAAAATGTCCTGTTTCAATATAAGTAAAATCTAAAACAGATCACTTCCTGTCAGCGAGACCAAGAAGCTGTTCATCAGTGACTAGCAGACCAATCACTGCAGTCGTACTTCATAAAGCTGGTACTCTGTTGTCAGTTCACCTGCTTCTGGTAAGAAAGTTAATGAAATGATTTTAATTATTTTCATTTTCACGAAATACAGGATGACATCGTCGACATACGCGCTGAGACATTTTCAGACAGTTTCAGTTCCTTTACAGCACATCTCCGCTGCAGCCGGTTGTTGCTGAAGGTGACGTTCTCCTGACTCACGCTGAACAAACACACCTGACAAAGTTCACCGACTCCTCGCCGTCAGTTAAACTCAGAGGCGCCACTTCCTGTTACACTGTCTCGGGTCACAGCCGGTTGAAGAAAACACAGTCGCTACGGGCCGTTTTAACAAACTACCACCCACACGCCAGTCACCACCACCATCCCAGGGGGCGCTACTGTGGCAGGAGTATTTACACGCTCAATCTCTGCACGAAATTTGGAGGGAAACCAAAAATCCCCATGACGCAAGAGACAGGAAGCTGAAGCGGCACCAGCACGGTCCCCCAGCCCTGCCCTCCGCCCACCTGAGGTGGAGCTCTGTCATCAGTGTTGTCGGAGCCCGATGCCCCCCCCCCGCCCCCCCGCCTTATCTCTGTGAGTCTTTACAGTCAAAGGTTCTAAAGTCAACACAAAGGCCTGCCACCGACACCAAACACAACACTGCCGACCGCTGACTTTTCTGCCCACGTGGTGGAAAACAAAAGACCTGATGTGGAACTGGATGAACAAACAGCGACCATATGGTCCTCCTCCATCACAAACCTCTCTGTTTCCAGCCCTGACCTTTGTGTTTCAGGGCGGGGACGTTCAACACATGGCACTGTTTTCCATCCACCGTCGGCAGGAAATGCATCACAGTTCATTGTGGGGGGGGGGGGGGGGGGGGGGGCGAGGAGGTGGTATCATGCTTTTTAACAGGAAAGTGTAAAAATAACCATCAGCCACCAGCTCTGAGTTCAGGGTGGCAGCAGTGAGGAACCAGAGGTTGGACCACAGATGTGTTCTGCTGTGGGACTAAAATGACTAAAAGTCTGAGTGACCTGTCAGTCTGAGTGACCTGACAGTCTGAGTGACCTGACAGTCTGAGTGACCTGTCAGTCTGAGTGACCTGACAGTCTGAGTGACCTGACAGTCTGAGTGACCTGACAGTCTGAGTGACCTGACAGTCTGAGTGACCTGACAGTCTGAGTGACCTGACAGTCTGACTGACCTGTCGGTCTGAGTGATCTGTCAGTCTGAGTGACTGGTAGAACATGTGGAACGTGGTTCCACCAGACAGCGTCCAGATCAACAGTCAGACTGAAATACACTTTCACTCTTCCAGATTAATAATCCCATCATTTGGATTAGTCACAAATAAGAACAGGTGAGAAACAGTGACCTCTACCTGCTGTTACTGGTCAGTTCCAGTGATGAACAGAAAAAAACGTTTTTCACAGGAAGTTGTTAATTCATGTCAATTATTTATGATATTAATTGTGACTAATTATGATCAGATCTAACCAGGATTAAC